ACGCAAACCATCGTGGATATCCACTAGATGTTATTTGATTCTGCTTACTAAGTATAGATGGCGATACCACTATCGCATCTACTCATGCTCGACCCGCCGTAATAGAGTTCGATCGAAATTTTTGTCCTACAGACTCTATTAGAGATTGGGGTCAAGAACTTCGATTTATTGCTGAAGAGTCCTAATAAGGATGACTTTCTCCTTAGTGGGCAAAATCAAAGGCAGAGTGTTGAAAATATTTTTTTATCTCTGCTATTTTCTTTCGACGTTATTCAATAATCATTGGTTACTTCTACCAAAGAATACATACCCAAGAAGCGAAACTGAATGAGTTTTTCTATGTACCAAAGTAGCAGCGACCTTGACGTAAATGGGAACTTAATACACTGGGAAACGTATAATTCCAATCAATTTGTGTTGTTTGGTTCATGAGAATTAAACACATACTAAAGTTAAAATGACGGAAAATTCTTACTATATTCAATAGATAATGTTAATAATAATAATAATAATAATAATTTTAGTAATAAGTACTGTAGGTAGCTGAGAAAGTATTTTGATTGCATGATCCTGATAGCAGCGACTTGGTTCCTCAGAGTGAGTCTGTCATATATATTACTGTTTTAATCCTTACTATAAAATTGTTTATATGTATATTATTTAATGGATTAAATCGATCACAGTCCGTATGGTTTGAAAAACAAAATAGTGATTTAATTTTTGGAAATAGTCGAAAAATCTGGGGGTACTTTGTAGAAGGTTGTTTTTCTACTTTATGGAATATATCTGATATTTACGCTTGGAGAAGAAAATTCTTTAAATAAAAATTGCTTGTAATGTTATTATCTATAATTTTTGTCATTTAAAATGGTCCGTATTCGAGAAATTTGACAAGAAATGCAAGATTCTAATTTTTGGAATTGGAAAATGTATTTCTTATTTAGTTCATCCTTAGATTATTTTGATCAATTAGCAATAAGAAACATAGCAATAAAAAAATGTCTAGGCATCCTCAGACGTACCAAAAACCAGGATTGGCAGGTGGGTAATTTCACATTAAAGCGACATATACATGTCTTTCTAATTTTTTCAAATAAATAATTATTTTATATCTTTAAAATGATATCAGAAAGATACGAGAAATGAATTACTATCTTTAAAGAACAATAAGTTTTGTTTCCAAAGAAGCAAGATTATTTTGAAAAATTTCCCTGACACGTCCTCAAGCCATTCATATCCTAAAAATGGTCATAATATAAAAGTTATTTAAAATTACATTATCAACATTATAATACAGTTTTATCCAAGTATTTTCCATGTGCCAAGGCCCTTAAAAGCTCAAAAAAATTATTTATTTCGAAAATATAATAAATATTTAAATGGTCCTCAATGTCTTATGTAATTCAATTTGAGCTGTGTCCAGGCCGTTGGAGTCTATGCCGGTCGGCGTAGCCAGGTATGGGTTAATGTTTTTTGGTGGCGGCGAAGCCACTTTACGACTTATCGTAGGGTGGCGGCTACGATAAGTCCTTGCTTTTTTTCTTGTTGCATATTTATGGACCGGTATGGGCAATCACAATTTTCCATTAACTACTAATTTTATCACAATCTGGCAACGTTGCAATTATATTTTTCAAATTTGACATTACGAGTGTGGAAAGTGACATTTTTCACACAAGTGGGAAATATTGTCGCACGAGGCACAAGCTGAGTGCGACTATCACACGAGTGTGGAAAATCACTTTTCACACAAATGATGTACAATATGTTTTCTACGACCACAAAATAATGACATCAAAAAATGTAAAACCAGGTTATTATTACTATAATAATTAAAATGTATTTAAAAAAATAAATAACAATAATCGTATTTATTCAATTTTCACACTTTCTAAACAAAAAACAATACTCAAATAAAAAAAAAACAAAAAAAAAAAAATTCTGGCCCCGCCAAGATTTGAACGCGGTCGCTCGCCAAGTCTCAAATGGCAAAGTTAATAAGTTCGACGTTCTAACCATCTGAGATAATAGCACTTACATCAATTGAATGATCTAATCGGTTATCCATTTAACCAGAATAAAAAGCAAACATATCTTAGTTATTTTAAAATTATTTTAATAATAATTGTTAAAGATAAATATCTAGGATCTAATTTACAACAATTTCAATAATTTAACAATCATATCGATTTTAGTATTAATATGGACATTACATAGATCAAAATAGAAATTATATGTTTAACATTTTCTGACAGCTACTGCGGAAAGTAGCATATTCGTACACGGGTGGAAAGTAAATTCTAATTCATACGCGTGTGATATAGGGCACTTTCCATAGTGTGATATGTGTCATTTTCCTAAGTGGTCGTAGGAAAATATCATAGCTTCGTTTGCATTTGGAGAATACTGTGGGTAAAGCATTGTCAAATAATCGTCTTCTATAAGATGTACTTTGAAATATTATTATAAATATTTTTCTTCAAAATGTTGTTCACATATTCTATATGAAGATAAGCCACTAGGAACTGTGAAATTTAAATCTTCACGATTACAAGCTTTCAACCAGAGTTGAGCTCTACAAAATGATATTTATTAATACTTAATTTTTCTAAATAAATTTGAACAGTAACATATCAGTATCAGTAACATATCAGTACATACATCTCCTGGGAATTTAAACATTGTTAGCCCTTGTTCTGAAGTTGTAACACAACCACGAACAACGCAATGTATTTTTTTTCATTTTAATAAAAACCTTTAAACTATCTAATATATAATTACTACTTTTAAATAAACCTACTGAAATTTTCTCAAAACGCTAAGAATAATATACCAAACGTCATACACTACATGAACTGACAACTATATTTGACGTTAAACTACCTCTAAAACACTGAGAAAACTTGGCAATTTTTTGTCCACGAATCGCCCATTTAGTGTCGCTTCTTGGGTAGGTATTCTTTGCTTCTACTAAAGATACCCATAAAATATTTTGTTGAATATCCGAATATCTTCTATATCCTGGGATATAGACGGGCATTTTGGTTAGATATCCATATTGGATATATTGAATATCCACAAAATATATTCTGTGGATATCTCTGGGATTTCTTGTATTTTCTGGAAGATACCCATTAGATATTTTGCTGAATATCCATTAGGATATCTTCTATATTCTGGATATAGACGGACATTTGGACATCCATATTAGATCCACAGAATATTTCTGATATCCTATAGATATATTGGATATCCACAAAAGATATTCTGTGGATATCTCTGGGGTTTGGTGTGTTGTCTGGGTAGGATATAATGCCCATTTCAAATATGGATCAGTTATGATACCGAGGTATTTTGTTGTGTTTTTCATTTTAATTATAAAGTTGTCATTTATTTGCATGTTGAAAGATGGCCTTTGTAAATTACATTGCTCTCTATGGATCTACTTTAACACAAAAATAGTTTTGTGGCTATAAGTTGCTATAACCTATCGTCGCAAAACTAATAATAATTTAAACATAGTAAGTAGTATTATTATAACATCAAGTATTTTTTTTTAAATAAAGTACATGATCTCAAAACAAATAATCTATAATAAATGCGGATAAAACGAGGGGTAAAATAACAATAAATTAAGGCAAATATTTAAAAAGGGCAGGTTTAAAGAGTATTACCACAAGAAAGTATATCCGTTCTGTTTATTATTTATCAAGTATTGTTTGAGGTTACTTTTGAATACATTTATTGTTTTTTTTTAATTTCTGTAGGCAGTCTATTAAATTTAAACCTCTAATAGATCTGATGCGATAGTACTGTCATTTTTATTTTATAAATATTAAAACAAAATTAAATATTAATTCTAACGCATAGGTAGGATTCCCCACTCGACCATTCACTGTTGGGTTCTAATTAACAGTGCTGTTCCTAAAGTGGCGCTGGGAAACAGTAACAAAGCCTACACAGAACACGAGGCTAATGGCCGTAGTAATCGACGCCGATGACACCAAATTAAAAAAAAAAAAATATCAGTCATGTACTGAACATAATTCTGAACTGAAAGCCAATTTATTTCTTTTAACATAGTTTCAATACTCAATGAGTATTACTCATCCTTCTGTCCTTTATTAATAGAATATAAATAGGCGAAGTAAGGAGCCCAAATATTTTACATGAGCAGGCTTAAGAGGTAAAGGAGCCAATTATTATTGGATAAAAATTGCTCGAACAAGTTTTTAAACCCTAATCAAAAGGCGATATAGAATGGTTTTAAAAATCAAGGCTTGTGAAAATCTCTCGAATTTTTATCTACACTCGTGTGATATAGGGCACTTTCCTAAGTTTGCATAGGAAAAGGACAATTTCAGTGTATTTGGGATTGGTAGTCAGTAAATGGTCCTTACACCACCGTTCTATAATTTTGAGAAGTATTTGTAGCCCTTCGTTAATTATATTCTCCCACATTCCCAGTTTGATGAATGACCAAGTCATCTGCATATGCTAAATGCAAAGACTATCATAACTACCAGATAACTTAATATTGATGTATTGACGCAAATGATCAATCTAATATAATGGTATTTTTTTATTTATAAGGATCGAAACAGACCGTCTAGGTCTATGGTCTGGTTAGTTTCTTCCATTCGTCCCTGTTCTTGGCTTTCTCTTTCCAGTTGATGATCTTTTTTTCCTTAATATCTTCTATGATCGATTCCCTCCATTTTCTTCTAGGCCTTTTTCTTTTTTCCCCAACCATTGCAACCTTTTTGACTGTATTATTTCGTATATGTTCGGTTCGTTAAATATTTCGTAGATTTCTTTGTTTGTTCGTTCGTCTTTCCCGTCCTTCTTCTGTCTTTTTGTCCCCATATAATGGTATATCGACAAATATTTTGTTGGATTAAAACTAACTCAAATATTTAATATTTTATTAAAATATCAATAAGTCAACAAGTATTCTTATAATCTACATATTATTTTAATATAAAATAACCTCCCTATAACTTAAAATATAAATCTACAATAAATTAATACAACGCCGACCCTTAACTGTTCCCGATTTTGAAATCGCAAACTAAAGAAAAATGATCCGAAGGGTAAGCCAAGCTGGGTACCCGATCCTCTCCTATTTCCTCACCGGTAGGCAATTCCAAAACAGCCTCTAAATCCAACTTATTCTTTGAGTAAAAAACGTAGTCTATCGTATGACAAACTTCGCCCTCCCCCCGTATCTTCCATGTCGTATACGAAGGTTCTCTATCAGCTGATTTCGAATTATTAACATTAGTATCACAGTCAGCGTAGGCGCTACCGAGTCCCAACGGGTTCTCCAAAATGGTGTTATAGATGGGTTCTATGGGTTCCGCGTTGAAATCCCCCGCCAGAATCAATGGTAGGTTTCTGGAGTGGGATTGAACGAAGTGCAAAAGGTCCTTGCCTTGTTCGTTGCGAAGGGTCGATAAAAGGGCGCCGTTTTTGGCTTTCAGATGGGTGGTGGTGACGCATATTTCTTGTCCTGTTTCTTTCAGTTTAAGGATTGTAAGGATGGCGACCTGTAAAGAAGAAAATTTAGAGTTATTTCATTCTGATAGATTCCGCAAAAAAATAGTTATTTATGGTACTCTATTTTCGCTAACAAGAGAGACAGTAACAAAACATTATTGGACATTCAAGCTACAATATAAGTGGCTCATTATCTACGAGCATTGTCTTGATGAAACAACAGAGTTTTTCCAGATGTTTTCTGTTTTAAAGGAAATAAATGTATCAATTTTAATAAAGCCTATTCCAACCTTAGAGAAATTAAGGAAGTGGTACCTTAAGGTAGGGTACTTTATTTGTTGTATACCAGAGATATTCCTAATCTTGAACGCAACATTTTGCTGATCATACTGCATTTTTTGCTGTTGGAACAAATGACGAAGACACTATTAGAACAAACGACAATACAGCAAAATATGTGGGTATGACACTTGATACTAGACTTTGCTGGAAAGTCCATATTAACAAAAAACGCGAAGACCTTGGTATAAATTACAAAAGAATGTATAGGTCACTAGGAAAAAATTCCAAATTTTCCGCATACATCAAACTGCTTCTTTGCAGGCAGATATTAAAACAAGCTTTGGGTGTGTGCCAGTAAAAGTAACATCCAAGTTATTCAATGTTTGCATAATAAAGTAGTAAGGAACATCGTCGATGCATCCTAGTACTGCCGCAATACTGATCTTTATAGGGCCTTAAAGTGAAGAAAAATACAATAACAAAATTTGCCATTAGTCACCAACAACAACTGCTCCAACATGGGAACGAAGAAGTTAACCAGCTCCCAACAATGTCAATCTAATAAGAAGACTCAACTAATTTGAGTTAGTTCAATGATGTTAGATAAAAGCAGAGTATAAAGCATATACACTAACGGTAGTGTAACTTAATAATTAGATTCTAAGGTACACTAGTCAGTAGAATCTTAGTGTATGAAGTTTTTCACCCCTAGCTAAGTTAGGTTATAATAAAATTGCTAATTAATCTCATTGAGCAGATTATAATAAGTTGGGGCATTTATTGAAAAAGATGTACTGCTAGGATACAACTATATTTTTAAAAAATATTTCTTAACCCTCGAAAGATTAGATCATAGTCATATCTCAGGGACATCTACAATTATTATGCAATAAAAAAGACGAACAAATCACTATTTTTGTAATCCAACTCACTTGATTGCTCTGCACCTTCCAAATTTCCAAAATTTTAGTCTCCACGTTCACCAAATCGAATTTGTCTTTTCTATAAAAGATAGCGCACCCGTCGGGTCCGTTATTTCCGTTAATATATATACAGGGTGAGTCGGGTTTAGGGAAGAATAGACCCGTGTATCCTTGGGTTTCCAGGATGTGACTTATGAAATTGAAGTGGTCTACTTCCTGTAAAGAAAACAGAAATTTAAAAAAGAAATTTGTTACTGTTATAGTAACGGTTTTATTTTATATATTTGTTGTTGTTATCATCACAGTTTTCTAATTTTTATTTTACCTGTAGACAAATGACGTCTGGAGAATATTCGACTAGTTCTTCTACAATAAGAAACCTTCTGTGGTTCCATTCTAGTGCTTCGTCAGGGCATTTTGAAAAATTGTCGTTCATTTGTCCTAATGCTAAAAAGAGAAGAAGATATTATTGGGTGATCCAATATCTTAATAATAAAACATAATTTTAGAAAAACATTCGTGCATTAGCACGATATATCGTCATTTGCATATATCTGCAGTAGATATAAGATGGCATAATTGATAGTAAGCCCGTTCACGTCTCTTTCCCTAATTTTTTCCCAGATCTGAGGACAAATAGTGAAGATCTGTGCATATCAATGTTGCCGTATCTACGCAATCATCATCATTTTTCCCAGATCTGGAGAAAAACTTGTAAAGTGGCGTAAACTGGCTTGGCATTTAAAGAATTATGGAGATGTTACCCGAGTCATAAAATTTTGTAAATGAAATATTTAAACTGTAAACTAAAAACAACTATCTTACCTTGAGACAGAATGTTCCATTGTAATACTCTAATAGTATTGGGCCCCGAAATGTAATCACTACAAGCTAAAAATAATATTTCAAAAATTAGTTTCTAATACTTTCCAATTAAAAATCCTCACCTCTAGATACTCGGCTCAATTTTCTGACCTTCATGCCGCATTCCAGCTCTGAAGATGATTTGGACTTCCGAAACGTTCGCTTTACCATAGGATACGTCTTGAGCTGTCGCTGACAATGCTGGAGCAGCTCGGTTCTGCTGATGTTTTTCGGTAGATTCACGTCGTGGTCCAAAATGTCTGCGTTCAGAATTTTTGGTACCGAAGAAAAACTTCCCATTCTGTAAAAAAAGTGTCAGTCTATTAAATATTATAATATTATTAAATAGTAAGAAAAAATTTTGTGTAAGAGAAAATTTAATGCAAGAGAAAATTTAGTGTAAGAAAAATATGCGTGGATTGTTTTACCAACTGGTTGACAATATTTTAGAAAATTGAGATATTTTGACATGTTTTCCTCGTGAAGAACAAACTGTGAGAAAATCGGTTTTCTTTATTGGAAAATACAAAACTTGCAGTACTTATAAATACAAATTCTCAACCGCAAATTCGCAAATACAATTTTTACTAACTTTTAAAAACATTTTCGAATTTGTACGATTTCAGACATACTTCCATGTCTACACATTTTTCTCGTAAACAAAAAATTGTGGAAAAAATGGAGGGTCATACAAAACCCATTAAAACTAAGAGTCAGGATCGCCAAACAGACTGGTCTTTAGATATTCAACGCACTCTTGTAATCCATACTTGCAATTCCTTTTTCCTCAACGGTGCCGATATCACTACTTTAACTTCCCTAGTGGAGAAGTTTGCGACATCTTCAACACCACATTCTCTCTTGTTTCGAAATACTCAGGAAACCAATCGTCTCTAGAACTCTAAAAGGCTCAAATACTACCCATATTCAAAACTTCTTGACGCCTTCTTCTCTTCTGCAAACCTACGAAAGGCTTCCCCAACCAAACATACGACTTACAAACCGACACCCAAGATCTTCCTTTCCTCCACAGATCTCCAGGAATCTACTGGACACTGTGTCCCTATTTATTAGATAAACCCAGTCATCCTATTGTAACATTTTTATCGTATAGAATAGTGATTTAGGTTCCCGTGGTTTTTCTAAATCATATTTCTCACTTTATATTGGACCTGCTCCAAATATAAAATTTTAAATAGTAAAATTGGTCATTCTATTTTAGGAAATAAACGTCCCACTCAGATCCCACGTGCCCATTTTAGGAAATTATATATAATATAATTTCTCCTAATTAATTAATAAATTTCTTTAAATCAACGGTAATTTTTTTTATTAAATTGACAAAATTGGGTAATTTGCTATTTAACATCGTAATTTTTAATTCTCAAATAAACTATATTGTGCAAATTTAATAATAATAATTAAATTTAACAAAACAGTAGTTACCATTTGAATCTATCAAATATTACAGTTGTAGATAAAACTATCATTGTCTTTTAAGATTTTTAAATATTATCACATTTTTTATGGAAATCTTTCTGCAGATCAGAGCAGGTAAGTACAAGTAAAACCATTATAATTTTTATTTTGAAATCTTGTTATCAATACCAGGAAAGTAACATACGTAGTTATGATGGAATTTATAAATAATGTATGAAAAATTCAGATTTTTATCTTGTTTATTTACAGCTTAAAGTGTTTAAACTTTAAATTATTTTCATAGAAATATTTTCCACAATAATAAGGTCATAGGGTAACGACGTATTTCTTTTCTTGGTAAAGAAAAATGAGATATTTTTTTGCACTCTAGAATTATATTTAAAATGCGAAAAATTTAACTAGTCAAAAAATATAGTCATTGGTAAACTCTTGATATTTATAAAAATGTTCACTGACATATGAGAATTAGAAACATATATTTCATAACATCCTTTATAGTAGAATAGAACCAACTTAAGGTTTCCTCTTAAAAAAAATGATGAATAAACAGCTGGAAATGTCCTGCTTTGCACTTTGCGAAATCAGTGAGCATTCGACTATGAAGTCATTCTGTTAAGGTTTCAAACCTTTTCGAACTTCGACAAAAAATAATTTTGATTTTATCTCTCAAAAAGAATGCTAATTTAAATACAGGAGGCAGTTGAAAACGCTTATGCTGATATTGGTGAAAAACGGAAGGTTATGGACACTAACCTTATATATAAAATGAATAATATTGAAGTTGACCAAATTTAATAGTCAATATTCATGGCAATAATGATTAAAGTGATCATACTGGACGGCTATTTTACTTCTTATGGTGATTTTTATTTATTTTAATAGTGGATTTGATTTTTTGAACTAGGTGTAAGTTTTCTGCACTAATCGCATTTGATTTGTTCAGTGTAGCTTCAAATATTTGACAGTAGCACACGTGTATCATATACTTTTGACAACTATGACAGTTACAGTGTCGAGTGTAACACTAGTGCAACAAATAAAATCCACTATAAAAAAGTATATACTTGAGCGGAGGTAAAGTAAATTAAATAATATATTTTAGTAATCAAAGCACAATATCCTACATTTAATAAATTAATTTAATTTAATCATGAAAATGCTGGGTTAATACGTCTTATATCAGATAAAAAAAAAACTTACTTTAGTTTCGACTTTATAATCCATTTTTTTAAAACTTCGATGTACTTTTCTTTACTGTCATACGCACATTTCCCAATCGATAACCTTTGTTCACAGTAATCACAACAAATCATAATTATTTACGAAATATATCTTTATAAATTATGCAATATTAACTAATCCGCAAAAATTCTGACATGAAAATAAAAAATTCAACTAATTCGTTTTTAACAATAAACCGTGTTAGAAATGAGTCAGTATTTAAATGCCGAATTATTAAAACAATGAGAATGTCACCAACAAAATTATTTTTAGACTTAGTATTGATGTAACAAGCAGTTACCAAGAAGACTGAATATTTATGTTTGTAAGCCACAACTAATGCTTTAAATATTGCTTGCTTATATTAATAATTATATTAATATTAAAAGAATGACATAGTGGCTGATAAGATGTTTGAAACTTTAATGTAATTGGGAAAATTTAAATTTGATGGAAACAATTTTATGAATAATCTTATTACACATAAATATTTTAATTTTTATTAAATATTTTGATACTATTAACATTTAGTTATGGAGAGAATGATTGTACCAATGTCAAAGAAATGAGACCTATAACAGACTGTGATAATCATAAAAGGATAACATTCCTGAGAAATATTACTGCTAAATATCAAAATGGATTTCTACCAGGAAAATCAATTAATCAATTTACCTACAAACGAAATAATAGAAAAAGCATATAAAAGAAACATTTAAATAATTTAATTTTATTAGAAATGGATTACCTTCTGTCGGTATAACATTGTAAGTTTATTTTACATAAGCCTACTCTTCGTTAAAAAAATGATTTAATTATTTACGGAAAATACTGTTGGATGATTTAAAATATTAGGAAGTCAATTAAAATATTTTTTCTACGTTCATGCAAAAAACAAAACTTTATTGAACTATATTTAGTGAAAAAACTGGTTCTTTATTGCACTAGTGCAATAAAAATTTTATTGCACTCGGAGGTATCTATCTACTTAGGAGGATGCACAATGGGCCTAGAGATGCCTAATTACCGTGGCTGAGCCTACAAACTACATATTACAGATACAGATAACTATAAAAATATTCTTTAATGTTTTTCTGATATCCGAAAGTAATACTTAAAATAAAAATTAATAAACATGTTACATTTCATATTTTATTTTAGATATCGCGTATTTTTTATTTTAAAAATAGAGAGAAAATGGAAGGAAGTTTCTTAAATCAATAACAGTAAAAATACTTACAATAAAATGGTGTTTATTTAAAGAATGACCTTAATCTTTCCGTCTATCTTTTAAGCAATGAAATAAAATCTAATGGGACCGCATCTATAGCAAATGGACTCTTTACAATGCCAATAATCACAAAAAAAAAACAAGATCTAATGCTATTACAAGAAGAAAGTTTACATTTTTTTACCTATTAAAATATTCAATTCTAATTCTGCGTATTCTTTTTATAAGTTATATTAATTCCACATCAAATTACTATATTTTAGTAAACAATTCAACAAGCCTTTTACCTTAATTCGATATTTTTTGATAATTTCTAACCCCCATGGCTTCCTATACCGCCACCACTGGCTATATAAAAATAACATGTGCGTTCACACTTCACACGCCTAATTTCACTGTCACTGCGTGATAAGTTTGGTCATTCGCATTTACTCCATATAAAATATAAAGGATAGTATAAACTTGTCATTAGCTAATTAACTATTTTATCATATCTCCTGTCTCTTACTAAATGTAAAAAATTAAATATTTACCTGGACTATTAGTTATGAATATGCTAACAATAATTATCACCATTTGTCGCTAGATATATTATTATCTAGACCAAAACTGATTCTTACAATGCTGGTACGTGTTCGATAAAATCAGATTTAAGGTCAAGTTAAAGACAGCGGCGGGCGTATAGGGGGATTAGGGTAACTTCAATATTAATTAACTAAACTATCCAATGTTAATTTGAGTTAATTTGGATTCATTAAAGAATACAAAAAAATAGAAACATGGGTATGAGGAATGTTTAATGGTTATGCTTAGGAATAAGAAAATTATGTCTAAAGTTACCATAATTTCAGGAACCGAAATTACACCGTCCTGGAGTCAGCTTACAAACAATAAATAGGTAGAAAAGTGGGCCCATAAATCAGTCATTTTTCTAGAAACAGGCTTGGGGTAGAGTTATTTTTTGTAACTGCAAACAAGAATATGTTTTTGATTTGAGTTAACTCATAGATATCGCCAGATTTCCCATAAGGAACAAAATAAATAAGCTAGTGAACATTTATAGATGATTTCTTTTGTTCAATATGGCGTATAAGGCGACATCTACGAGTTAAATCTACAAAAGCTAGCTCTACCCCAATTTTTACAACTTTAACACTGTATAACTCAGAAATGAGCTTTCTCAGACCCATTATTAACCGGTTTAAAGCGATCAACCGTTAATTTGCGATATTTAACATTTTAATTAAATAAATGTTGGTCCCAGATAGCACACTGACCGCGACGTCATTTTTTGGTGATAATAATTAGTCTCAGACGTCACAACACTTAAAAATGACGTCTCAGAGACATCATAAATGTGATCACATAACTTTTTTATGTCATACGTCATACTTTAGTATGTAATACATTTTTAAATTTAATTAAAGTGCCAACTAAGTTAGTGATTTTATTTTTACATAACGAAAAAAACAATCTTTTTACAGACCTCCAAGAGAAAATTAAGAATTTTATATTTTAGTAGCTGGTCGCTAATAGGGTGAGGATCAAACAAGAGAAAGCAAAGAAGATAAGAGAAAAAGAAGAAGAAAAAAAGAAAACATGAACTTTGGGTGAACTGTTTGTTGCAAAAAAGTGACATCTTATGATTTGTTGTTATTAGGTCAGATATTCCGTTTGTTTTGTACTTAAAGGCATAGAAATTGTAATATTTTAGTATTTGCATACATAATATCAGTAGTAATACATCGAAAGGTAACCGTCTTGCTGATTCACTGGCCAAGAAAGCAGCCAACCAAATACTTTTTGAACCTGGCCCTTCTATTGGCCTGACAAAATCGGTAGTGACAGACCTAATTAAAAATCATTTACTTGTGAAATTCAAGGAAAGAAGGGATGAAACAAGAAACTGCAGAGTTGCCATGGAGGTTTTAAGTTATCCTGACAACACTGCAGCAAACAAATACTCGACTATGACTAGGCAGAATCTGCGCCTAGTCATAGGCATTCTGACTGGTCATTGTCATGTACGGAAGCATCTCCATATCATGGGGCTATCCGATTCCACACTCTGTAGGGGGTGCGAACAAAATAATGAGATCATCAAACATATCCTCTCTCATTTATTAGAATATTACTGTTCGACGAGAATTGGCTGACATCGGCCGATATAAGAGGAGCACCTCTTGGCGACGTTGTCAACTACATTAAATCTGTAGACTGGCTCACGAGCTAGGAGGTGCCTATCATTTTAAGATGATGCACAATGGGCCTAGTGAGGCATAAGTACCGTGGGGGTAACCCGCCCTCCACACATTACAGATGCAGATCCCCATAAGAAGCCATGTATTTTTAACATCAGTTGCAACACCAGCGCACCTACGGTGAATTGTTAAAGCTCAATTAGCGTGTGTTTTTTAGTACCGTATTTCGGGTATGCTGATCCGCCGCCTCTCTAGTTTTCATAGGCACAACTAACGTCATAACAACGTCACAAAATGACATCGCTGAGCCGTGACATAATGACGTGAGCTAGAGGTCATTTTGATGAAAAATTACGCAATCGATGACCAATAAATGACGTCGCTGTAACGTCAGAGTGCTACCTAGGTTTTTCTTGGTTATTTTCTATGACGGCATATTTAAGCTCTTTGAAACGTCATTAATTATAACCAGTAAATATCTGAGTCCGGGAGTGAGTTAATAGTGACAAGTGACACACAGTTAGTGTTTTTTGGTTAGATTATAGAACTCGCTCAATCAAATTTAAAAGTTACATTAGCTATTATAAGCTATTACACCATTATTTATGTATATACATATACGTAATTTGTCAAATATTTCTGGCACCATGTGAAAAAACGTGTAAAACTATTCGTTATTAAATTCTAACATCCATTCTTCAAATCTATTTCCAATATATCGTGGTCCATAAGAAAAACCGAGAGATAAACTCACGAGTGTTAATGAATTTTCCTCAATTTTCATTTTAGAGCCAATAAAAATTAACCTACAAATTAAATGTCAAAAATTCTTCATTTATTTAAAAACGATTTACCGTTAATGCGTGACAATAACCTTGTTAACCCTTTTAAGGCTTTAGTCACGTGATTTTAAGGTTAACCAAGGATATAACCAAAGTATTTTCTGGTTTATCGCTTTAAAACGGTTCTTGTTGAGTAAAATATTATTTTTGTCTTCTAAACGTACATTTACAGTTACATAAATATGACCGATGCTGTATATTAGAAAGTTGACGTACCTAATTCGAAAAATATGGATTTTTTTTGTGTTAAATCAGTGGTTTCACAAGAATAACGTACCTATTTATAAATCATACAAAGGGTCTAGTAGGAAATCACAACATTTTTATGAAGAGCCCTGTTTTCGTAATTTTTTCATGTTTATTTATGAAGATTACATGTCTATTTTCTTGAAAAAATGTTTAACAGTTTCAAAGTTATTGGAAAACATTTATTTTCAGTTTATAACTTTTTTTGAGTCCTTTTTGTATATTTATGACCTATCTTTTTGTTATACCCTGTATATTTTAATAAGAAGTTAAATTCTTTGCAAGTCTAGGACGTAATGAAATGAATATTTTTACTAATATACTGCTTTAACCGTTCAAAATTAGTAACATAATATTTTTAGAAATAACGTTTGCATTATCTACCACGTGTTGGGCACGTCTACAGGTCATCCAATTATATGTTATTAATAATTTCCTTTTAATTAACAATCAATTGAACCGAAAATGGCCTCATCAATCATGATTATCGTATGTTTATTAATACATATTTATTAATCAAACAATTTTAATTTTGATGTTCCATTCCACGTCTAAAAATTATGGCGGTAAAGTGTAAATGCACAAAAATCGAGATTATTGTACAAAAATTACAGACAATTTATAAATATGTATAGATAATGTCTTCATAGATTGTGCGATGCAGTTCCCCTTCGATACCAGCGACATGACAGTCGCCGCTGGTTAAGGTCGTCACATCATTAATTTTCATTTACCCATCTTACCTTGGTAAAATATTCAAACGACTGAACCGCCTGACAGCCCTGATAACATTTCTGGTCGTCATTTTTACAAACAATCGACTTCTGCGGACGGAACGAGAACAAAAAATTACCCGAAATCACTGCACTGTAAATTTACTCGAATCAAAAACACTGGTGAGTCCTTATTTTGAAATTTTTGAGTCCTGATGCACTGGAATTTTGGATATCGGCACTGATGCGGCACTGCAGTGGCGTGTGGCTCATTACAATGGGCTGTTTTGAAGGAAAAAAAAATTATAAAAAAATTTGATTGTTAATACGTAGGAACGATAAATCGTGATTGTAGATATATAGACGATAATGATTGTATAACTGCGGTTATCGATGAGCTGAACTAAACTGCGTAATTTGTTTGTTGTCACCTTGCTTGTTGTTTGTCTAAAACTTTGGAAGCTTTTATTAATAGAATTGGAAAGAGTGGTTAGCAACGTGTTTTTCGGCGTCACATTTTATGGGTAATGTTTTAGTAAAACCGGTGTAATCCATTTTTTTGGCCGGCTTGCTTATATTAAGTTTATTTATAAATTTCTATGGACAATGAACATTCCCGCCAACACACGCGTAGGTATGTTTGCGACAAAAGTTCATATTTATCTTTAATTTTTTTTATTTGCTATATGACATTAAGGCTTGTGACCTACCTTCACAACTTATGAATTCCATTTTAATTATACCCATTATATTTAGGTTTCTTCATTTGAAAAAAATATATATATATATATATTCTAGATATTTAAATATGATTTACGATATCTAATAAATAAAATAAAAACGTATCTATATGCCCAATAACTATATAAGATAAAAAAATTATCCCATGGGAATTCGACCCGAAACTTCAACATAACATAACTCTTATCCCAGACTTAATAACCATAAAAATAATTTTTTATGAATAATCCTTTCCTAGATAAGCATAGTTTGATAAGTCAGTGATTTTTTGAATTTACTGCGCACTCGCGCAGTTACATTAAATGCCGCAATGCTCCCGTCAACTGCCACTTATTAGTAAAGTACTGTATAATTTTGAGCAAGCTGCACCATTTAGTTTGTGTTTGACAGCCATTGAAAGCAGACAACTTCTTGAATTTTAACGAAAATAAAAAATGGAATATCATGTGCTGACTATACAGGGTGTCCTTTAAAATGTGTCCCAAAATTCTCAGGCAGATTCTTTAACCAAAAAATGGACAAAAAGTTCCTATAGACCTATGTCCTAAAGTGCCCCCTAAGCGAGCAACAGCCTCTCGAAATCATTTTTTTTATTTTGATTTTTTGAATTTTCTTAAAAATGGAAACAAATAAAAGAACCAAATTTTGGCTGTTAAATATGATCAATAATAGTGACCTTTTGACACCTTCAAAAAGAAATTATTTCGTCAGGGGTGTACTTGGGAATTTTTTGAAAATTTTGATTATTCATAACTTTTTTGTGTTTTTGGTAATGACTTATCCATATTTTTTTTTACATTCTACATTGAAAACTACGTCAAAAAGGAATACTTGTTTGATCTCGATTGGAGCAGCCGTTTCCGAGAAAACATCATCCAAAGATATTCGTCCACTTTAGCTTAATTTTCAATTTTCCTAAATTACCTCGGTGAATCTCGTAAATAAAAATAACTTTTTTAGCTCTCTCTAAATAATTGTAGTTCAAATGTCGTGGTGGGACTATTTTTATTTAATAATAAGAAACGGTTTAAAAAAATATTTATTCTAAAAAAACAAATCAAAAAAAATTAAAGCAGATGCTCAATGTGGCGACCATTGGTTTCCACACACAAGCGCAACCGTCGCATCATAGACTGTCTTACACGAAAAAATACTTCAGGATTATTCCTAAGAACTTCGCAATGATGAAAAACTCGTTCTTCCAATTCTTCAACTGTTTCAACAGGACTGGAATAAACCAATGATTTTAAATAACCCCAAACAAAAAAATCCATTGGATTTAGATCTGGTGAACGAGGTGGCCAGTTAACAGGACAACCTCTGCCAATTACTCTACCCTCAAATCTTTCGTTAAGGTGCTGTCTAGCTTCAAGGCTGTAATGTGGTGGAGCTCCATCATGCATAAACCACATGTTATGTCTGATTTGAATCGGAATATTATCAAGAAGCTCATGTAAGTTATTTTCCAAAAAAAGCCTGTATGCTGCTCCATTTAACCTATTCGGCAAAACAAATGGTCCAATAAGGTAATTATCAATAACTCCAGCCCAGACGTTTATTGAAAATTTATCCTGGTGGTGACGTTCAACAACCGCGTGAGGGTTATCTTCAGCCCATTCATGCATATTTCGAAAATTTATTATACCATCTCTAGTGAAACCAGCTTCATCGGTAAATAGCACTTTATTAAGAAACATTGCATCTTGATTACATCTTCCAAGAAACCATTCAGAAAAGATAACTCGCGGCTCATAATCAGTAGCTTTAAGTGCCTGAACTTTTTGAATGTGGTAAGGGTACAATTGTTGTTCACGCAAAACTTTCCATACCGTGTTACGTCCGACTCCCACTTCTGAAATTAAATGAGAGAATCTGTGTAGTGAATAGTTAAGAAAGAGAATCCATTGATTTGGGAAATCAGATTTTTTTCTGCATAACGCTGTTATAATAAAAGTAGGCAGCTTTAAGCTTCACATTTTAAAATTAGTTACGATGTGACAGGGTGTTTCATAAGGCCGTGCCAAATCAAAGTTATGTTTTTTAAATGGAACACCCTGTATATTTTTATATTTTTAGAATCTGCTCGATAATCTGATTTCAATGATATATCACACTTGTTATCTAATATGAATAGTAAAGGATCTACAGCTACTCAAAAATCACATTTTTTCAAATTCAGGTGGCTGTTGTAGCCAAACAGTTGGAAATCGAGGAAAACGGCTTACAGTCCCTATCCTAACTTTTTAAGGTCTATTCAGTGACATAAAATACATATTATTTGATACAGGGTGATCAAAAATCCAAAATCACATCCGATTTTTGATCACCCTGTATCAACTAATATTTTTTGCCACTGAATAGACCTTCAAAAGTAAGGATAGGGACATGTAAGCCGTGTTCCTCGATTTCCAACTTTTTGGCTACAACAGCCAAAATTGAAAATTAACCTAAACTGCACGAATATCTTTGGATGATGTTTTCTCGGAAACGGCTGCTCCAATCGAGATCAAACAAGTATTCCTTTTTGACGTAGTTTTCAATGTAGAATGTAAAAAAAAATATGGATAAGTCATTACCAAAAACACAAAAAAGTTATGAATAATCAAAATTTTCAAAAAATTCCCAAGTACACCCCTGACGAAATAATTTCTTTTTGAAGGTGTCAAAAGGTCACTATTATTGATCATATTTAACAGCCAAAATTTGGTTCTTTTATTTGTTTCCATTTTTAAGAAAATTCAAAAAATCAAAATAAAAAAAAATGATTTCGAGAGGCTGTTGCTCGCTTAGGGGGCACTTTAGGACATAGGTCTATAGGAACTTTTTTTCCATTTTTTGGTTAAGGAATCTGCCTGAGAATTTTGGGACACATTTTAAAGGACACCCTGTATAGGCATTATTTTTGCGTAAAAAACCGTCACCGAAACCAAGAAAATTCTTGATAAATACTATGACGACTTAACCATCAATTTCAATGGTTGTGATCTTACTAGCACAAGTGACGCCGAATGTTGAGGTACCCCAAAAGAGGTACAATTTGTACCACAAAGGGAAGGAAGGTAATTAAAGTCCTTCATTAAATAATAGATGAAGTGAATTTACAGTACAAACAAATTTTTGGCTCCCGGCAACCATAGTTATCGTGTACTGTAATGAGCTTAACCATTGTTTTTTTGTTTTTCATAATAACTCGTAAGCTGTGTGCTTTTCTATAACAATCTCTAAGTACAAAAATAAAACACAAAATTTTCCAAATAATGTAAACAAAACACATGTTCTTATCAGATTTTCATTTGTTTTAAATTGTTAGATATGGAGTATTAATATTTTGCGACCTAAAAGATCAATTGTGCCCCCATATGTCGCTAAAGCAGCACTTATAGTCCCGACGATAGTTCCAAGGAAGTGTAGAATGCACTAGTTCGTCGTATTATAAATACTGCAATTGATATTAAATAAAGACATGAAGCAATTAGGAGAGCAACAAATGTCCTTCGAAAATGAAGCAGAAAATGTTTAGAGGTCAATGGCGGTATTTTTAAATATTTAATAAAAAAACGCTATGATTCAGACAATGTTAATGTATGGAAATTTTGTTATTCATTATTATGCTATAATATAGAAACAATTGAAAAATCGGATTAGAACATGAATTTTTTTACATTTTTTTCGCATGTATAATACACTCCTAGAATTAATGCCTTTCCATTTGACTTAATTACTGAATTAATACATAATAAAAAATCTGATGTGTCCAACACATGACTTTCCTATCTAGTTATTATAGGCTTTTTCCGGTTATTTTGTACAACCTATTGCAGCATCTCTATAAATGTTTAGAGGATAAACTAAATATATACATTGTCCACATACATCTACCTCGAAACATTTTTCTATAGATATTCATTGAAAACGAAAATACTGAAAAATTTTAATTTAGCACTTTTCCATTACGGTCCATTTCAAAAAAATCATGTATAAACAAAAATTATAGAGATCGATATCTCAAACAACTTTTAGTTCAACAATTTTCATAAAATTCAGAATTTTGCACATTTTGTCAAATTTCTCGAATACGGACCATTTCAGGAAATTTTGACATAAAACAAAAATTATAGATAATAATATTAGAAGTAACTTTTATTTAAACAATTTTCTTCTCCAAACATAAATAACAGATATTTTCCATAAAATATAAAAACGGCCTCCCATAAAGTACCCCCCCAGATGTTCCGACTTTGTCCAAAATCTAATCTTTTCACGTCAGTCCGAAATAAACCTTAAGTTTAAAATTTAATGTTTTTTTCTTTATCCGTTTTTGAGTTTTCTTCAAAATTCGAAATTTACACATTTTCTCAAATATCTCGAATACGGTCCATTTTAGAGAAATTATGTATAGAATAAAAATTATAGAGAATTATATTACAAACAACTTTTATTTGAACAATTTTTATAAAAAATAATTTTTTTTACATTTTGTCAAATTTCTCGAATACGGACCATTTTAGGAAAATTTTGCATAAAACAAAAATTATAGATAA